CTCCGGTGAGGTGCGTTGGGGTACGGCGCAAAGAGACCGGGGTCACCCCCGTCCCCCTCCCCATCTCCATCCCCTTTCCCGTCCCCGTCCACATCCTGATCGCCACCCCCATCCCATCTCCGGTTCGGACGCCCTTGGCCGCAGCTGCGGAGCGGCGGTGCGGTGCGGGGCTGCGCGGAGCCCTCCGGGGCCGCAGCCGGGAACGTCCCCGCTGCTGCGCCCGGTGCTGAGGAGCGGGGAGCGGGGGGAAGACCGGAGGGGCCCCCGGAGCGCTCCTCACCGACGCCTTTCGCCGCTATTTTGTTTTGCAGGGGCGTTTTCGAGGGGAATGGAGGCGATCGGCAGTCAGCTGGGAAACGGGAGAGATGCAAGCTCCTCCCCAAATTCAAAGCAAGAGCTGCAGCCGTACCAGGGCTCCAATACCCTGAAGCCCAACCAAGTGGGTGAGACCTCTCTGTACGGAGTGCCCATCGTGTCCCTGGTCATCGACGGGCAGGAGCGGCTGTGCCTGGCGCAGATCTCCAACACTCTGCTCAAGAACTACAGCTACAATGAGATCCACAACCGGCGCGTGGCCCTGGGCATCACCTGCGTGCAGTGCACGCCCGTGCAGCTGGAGATCCTGCGGCGGGCCGGGGCCATGCCCATCTCGTCGCGCCGCTGCGGCATGATCACCAAGCGGGAGGCCGAGAGGCTCTGCAAGTCCTTCCTGGGCGAGCACAAGCCGCCCAAGCTGCCCGAGAACTTCGCCTTCGACGTGGTGCACGAGTGCGCCTGGGGCTCGCGGGGCAGCTTCATCCCCGCCCGCTACAACAGCTCCCGCGCCAAGTGCATCAAGTGCAGCTACTGCAGCATGTACTTCTCCCCCAACAAGTTCATCTTCCACTCGCACCGCACCCCGGACTCCAAATACACGCAGCCCGACGCCGCCAACTTCAACTCGTGGCGCCGCCACCTCAAGCTCAGCGACAAGACGGCCACCGAGGAGCTGTCGCACGCCTGGGAGGATGTCAAGGCCATGTTCAACGGCGGCACCCGCAAGAGGACCTTCTCCCTGCAGGGCGCGGCCGGGGGCGGTCCCGGGGGGGGCTCTCCTGCCGCCAAGGCCCCGCTGCACCCCCCGCCGCCCGCCGGCCCCGAGCTGCCCCCGGCGCACAAGAGCCTCCGCTGCGGCGGGCAGGAGGCGCCGGGGGAGCGCGGAGCGCTGGGACTGCCGTCGGGGCACGGCGGGGCGGCGGGGGGGCACGGCGGGGCCGGCGCGGTGCGGAGCTACCCGGTGATCCCGGTGCCCAGCAAAGGCTTCGGGATGCTGCAGAAGCTGCCGCCGCCGCTCTTCCCGCATCCTTACGGCTTCCCGGCCGCCGCTTTCGGACTCTGTCCCAAGAAGCAGGAGGACGCGCTGGGCGGGGCGGGGGGCGGCGAGGCGGGGAAAGGCGGCGCGTTGCCGTCGGGGATGTTCTGGGGACCCCCGCACCCGCACCCCCCGCAGCCGACCCAGCCGCCCCACCAGCCCGGCGCCGCCAAGGACGCGGCCGTGTACCCCTCGTTCCCCATGTTCTGGCCGGCGGCCGGCAGCCTCCCCGTGCCGCCCTACCCGGCGCAGAGCCAGGCCAAAGCGGCGGCCACGGCCGTGGTGGTGGCGGCGGCGGCGGCGGCTGCGGCGGCGGCGGCGGAGCCGTCGGGGCGGCACGGCGAGCTGGAGGGCTCGGAGCCGTCGGGCAGCGGGCGGAGCAGCGCGACGCCCCAAGAAGGCTCCGGGGCGGACGGAGAGCGCTGTCCCAGCGCGCTGTCCAGGGCGGCCGGCGAAGAGGAGCGCTCCGGCGACGAGGCCCTGCTGGGCCCGCTGCCCCTGCCCAGGAAGGGCAGCTACCTGTCCGCCTTCCGCCCGGTGGTGAAGGACACCGAGAGCATCGCCAAGCTCTACGGCACCCGCGAGGCGTACGGCGGGGCGGCGGCCCGAGCGCCCGGCTACCTCTCGCCGGACTTTCTCAGCGAGGGCAGCTCCAGCTACCGCTCGCTGTCCCCCGGGGGGGACACGGCCGAGGAGCCCGAGGTGGACGTGGAGTCCAACCGCTTCCCCGAGGACGACGAGGAGGACACCGCCGCCCCCGCGGAGGAGCGGGAGCCGCCGCCGCCCCGACTGCTGCCCGCGCCCGAGGAGCCGCTCCCCGCGGCGGAGGGGCCGGAGGAGAAAGGGGGCGACGGGGCGGCGGAGGAGGGGAGCCGGGGCCCCGACGGCAGCCCCGAGCGGAGCAGCAGCGGCGGCGCCTACGAGGTGCGGGGCCGGGGCCGGGGGACGCCTCGGGGTCGGCCCCGCGCCCTGACCCGCTGTTTTGTAGGTGTACGCGCCGGAACGGGGGGAGCACCTGCAGCCGCTGAAAGCCGCCGCGTCCCTGGGAGCCGCCTTCCTCTGCACCCCTGAAGCGAAGGGTAAATCGCACCGCGGGGGGGCCGGGGGGGATCGGGCGCGGCACGGAGCCGGCGGGGGCCTCCGGAGCGCCGCTTTCGTTTAGAGGCTTTCGGGAGAAAAAATAAAATAAAATAAAAGGCAGCGAACGGATTTTGGAGAGGGGACGGGCCGGCCGAGGAGCACGCGGGGCCCGCGGATGCCACCGGAACGGCCGTCGGGAGGGCTCGGGGCGGGGAGGGGAGGGGGCCGCCCGAAGGGGCAAAGCTGCCAGCAAGCTACTTTCCAACGGCAAAGCGATTAGGATGTCCTCTAAGAAGGTTTTAACGAGGGCTTTGTCCTTAATTATGTAATTAAGGATATATCAGGACCATACTTTCATTGCTTACGGTTGAAAATCGGTTTATTAACTTTAAGAGCAAGATAAAGAAGACAATCACTCGACAGCAGAGGATTTAGAGACCAGAAAATCCTATCAGGACCAAAGGAGCGTCTCGCATCCCAGCCCTGTAAATACTGACAGAGGTAAGTCCTCACCGCGGGGCGCTGCGCGGCCGCCCAACACCCTTCCTCCACCCCCCCCCCCGCTTCCCCCGACGGCGCGGAAGGAGCTCCGAAATAAAAACAAGAATAATAAACCAACGCAGGAGAAGAGCTCGGCATGGAGGTGGCGGGGACGCAGTTGGTGGAAAAGGACATCGAGAACTTGGCCCGAGGTGAGAGGGGGCGGCCGCTGCGGGACCCGACGCCAGGGGAACCCCCCGACGGCCCCCGGGCCCCCATCGCGGCTCGAAGTCTTTGTGCTTTCCGCGGGAGTGATTAACTCCTGTGATTAATGCAATGTAATGCGATTAGCGCCGCGCTGAGCCGCTCCATATGGAAAAGCTCGCGCTCCCCCCAAAACCCGGCCTCGTGTTTTTCAACAGACGAACTGCAAAAACTCGTCCTGGAGCAAATGGAGCTGAGGAAGAAATTGGAAAGGGACTTCCAGAGCCTGAAAGGTACCGGGGGAGCCCCTCCTTGCGGCCGGGGCCGGGCGGGGCGGCACTGACCGCGCTGTGCCCGCAGATAACTTCCAGGACCAGATGAAAAGGGAGCTGGCGTACCGCGAGGAGATGGTGCAGCAGCTGCAGATCGTCCGAGGTGCGGCCCGGCCGCGGCCCGTCGCGATTCTTCCCTTTCTGTTTCGTTTCATTTAATTGTTATTATTATTATTATTATTATTATTATTATTATTATTATTATTATTATTATTATTATTTTAAATGTCTTTTATTGGTTTTATTATTATTTTTTAACTTTTCATTATTTTTATTTATTTATTTATTTTTTAATTTAGTTCTTTTTATTCTTTTATTCTTAGGGTCGCGTTTTATTATTTCCTCGCATTATTTCATTGCACTTTTACACCCGAGCCACCTACAGGCGCTGCCCCTTCCCCCCCCCCCTCCCTGTTAAGCCCCCGGCCGAGGAGCGACATTTCTCGCCGATTCCCCTTTCCCTTTACCCGTTCCCTTCGACGGGGCGGCCGCTCCCGGATCCCCCCCGGCTCATTTTGATGCTCTTCCCTCCTCTCCAGACACGCTGTGCAACGAGCTGGACCAGGAGAGGAAAGCGCGCTACGCCATCCAGCAGAAACTGAAAGGTACCGAGGCAGGAGGGGGGGCTCAGCCGTCTAACGCGGGGTCAGAAGCCCCCCCTTCCCCGTCGGTGGGGCCGGGGCTGACGGCGATGTCGCTTTGCAGAGGCTCACGACGCGCTGCACCACTTCTCCTGCAAGATGCTGACCCCGCGGCACTGCACGGGGAATTGCTCCTTCAAACCGCCTCTGCTGCCCCAGTGACCCCCCCCGACCCTCCCCATTCCCCCCCCTCCCGAAGCCATGCGCCCCGCGGCGCGCCGCAGCCCAGGGCAGAGCCCACGCAAAGCCATTTCCACGAGGAGCCACGTGTACATAAGGGGACTCGGAGCTCGGCCCTCTCGGACTGGCAATAGGGCGGGACCCCCCCGGGCCCCCCACCCCGCTCCGCGTCCTCCCCCCCCTCCCTGTGTGTCCGCTTCTTCCGCCCTCGTCCAGACTGGAAACAAACGTGGCTATGTGCAATGGATATAAATGTACTGTGATTCTCTTGGTACAGTATTTGTTGGATTTTTATTTATTTATGATGTATATTTATTTTCCCCCCTCCCACCTCCCCCATCCTCCCTCGGGCCCCCTCCTGCCTCAACCTCCCCTCACCCCCCCGTACATTTCTGGATGTGACAGCACTTTAACGGGCGGTTCGCGACTCCGGGGGGGCACCACCTCTGTACGGGATTTTGGTTCTTTAATAAAAGCCGACTTTAAGCACCGCCTGCTCCGTGCGGGGGGGGGGGTTATCGCTGCGGGCCGCCCCCTCGGGGCGCACAGCCCGAGGTGCCCTCGCTGCAGCCGCCCGCACCCCACGCAGCTCCTCGCTCCCTTCTCCTCCTCCGCACCGCAGCCGGGAGCTCATTAATGCCCATTTATATGCTCGTTTCACACATGAAAGTATCACATTAATGAGCTCCGGGAGCGGGCTGGGAGGGAGTTTGCGCACCTTATAGCCCGAAATTCCCGCTTCCATCCCCAGCGCCGCATCTCTGTGGGACACCCGACAGCGGCGCGCCGGGGGCGGCCCGGAGGGGCTGAGCAGCTGGGGCGCGGCGGGAGCGTTTGGGACGGAGCTGCACCTCTGACACAGGGCTCTCCGGGCTGCGGGTACAGCGCTGGGCCCAGGGGATGCCCCGACGGCCCGGGGAAAGCTGCTTAATGCCCCTCCCGGCGGGGCGCGCACCCCCGAGAGCGGAGCGGCCGCGCTCAGCCGCAGGCGCTCGTTGGTGAGAGAAGCGGAGCAGTTCCGCAGCCTCGGCCGCCACCGCGTGGGAGCAGCCGGAGGTGCAGCTCCTTATTCCTCCACCCATCAACCCGTCGGGGCAGCGCTGACCGAACCCCGCACGGCTCCGGGTGGTGCCGCAACCTGAGGTTGGGCTCAGCTGTGCGGGGTGGGCAGCGGGAGCGGATCGCCAGCACCTGGGGTGAGGGAGGAAAGGGACGTATAAACGGGCACTGCCCCTTCCCCTGGGTTCCTCTCGGTCCTTGGAGCTTTGCTTTTACTTTGAGGAGCTCTCGTGGTTTTTTTGGGGCCGTCGGTTGAGTTGCAGTGCGCGACCTTGCTGGTATCTCAGCTGGATGCAGGTGAGCCCATTGGGGAGGGGTTTTCCTGCAGGGACGTGGAGGGGATGGAGAGATTGGAGGAGCTTTGAAAGCTTTGATAAGAAGTTAAAATCAGGCTTTGCAGGCTGAGAGGCCGTCAGCTTGTGGGAGTGAAGCGGTTGGGACCCTGCAGGTCGCAGCATCTTGCACTGCACGCTTTCTTTTGCCGCTCTCTGGTTGGGTTGCTGTGGGTCCCTTGAGATGTGGCACGAAGCGACCCTATGGAGGAACCTGGCCTGGGCCTCTGTCCCTGGGGAGGAGCACAAGGCAGCGCTGGCAGCACTCTGGGCAGTGCCATCACACCCCGAGGAGCTCCTGCAACCCAGAGGGGACCCCGCTGCCACCCCATCACCCTGCCCACCCCATCACCCTGCCCACCCCATCACCCTGCCCACCCCATCACCCTGCCCACCCCATCACCCTGCCCACCCCATCACCCTGCCCACCCCTCCAGTCTCTCTCCCACAGCAGCTGTGGGACCATGCTGGTGCTCACCTGCCCCGCACGTCCCCCAGCAGCGTGGGTGCAAAACCCACTCCTTGTCTCGTATTAATATTTTCACACTACTTAGCTCTCATTAAAATGTACTTTGCTGAATTTAATATGCGACATCAAATGACACAACGTATTAAGTGCTTAATATACTAGAAATTATGAAACTATTATAGTCTAAGTAATATGAAATAATTAGAGTGAATTAAACTTCGGCAGCACAATGAGGGAGAGGCTTCAAATTTTTATTTTTATTTTTATTTTTTTCAGTCTTAAAATAGTTGAAAGCAGTAATAGCCCACGAAAATAAACAGGCAGAGTTAGGGGTTTTTAAATAATTAAAGCAGGAAAAAGCCTGGAGTGCCTGTACTTGAGCCTGTGATGAATTCGAACTGGGGGAAGCAGAAGGTCTGTGTGCTGCAGCTGATGGAGTCGTTCTTTCAGGCCAGTGGCAGAGCAGCTCCGAGGAGCTGAGCAGCAGACCTCCAGCCTGGCCAATGCTTCTCCCCATATGCTGCTCCCTGTTGCACTCAGGGCTGCATGCAGGCATTGTTTGGGGGTGGTGACGGTGCAGTGCCTGCTGTGGGCTTTGTTGCTGTGTCACCTCTTGGTTGGAAGATGTTTTGCAAAGCTGCTTTTAGAGGGGATGCGAATATCAGACGCCCCCGAAGCATCTCAAAGTGGCAGTGGCTGGTTGGAGCTCAGCTGCTGGTCCTGAGATGTGCTCCAAGCTGTTGTGCTGCAGTTGGATGTAATGGCATGTGGGTCTGCAGCAGCAGTGTGCAGCACCTGACTGTGCAGTGGGGCCAGGTCTGTAGGATGCCAGGACGTGGTGTTCCCTGTGCCCAGATGGGCTTCAGCTGTGCATCTCTTATGGAAACTCCCAAATTACCCCTTGAGGAGGCTGTCTGGGGCACAGACGTGCCTGGTGCATGCTGAAGTTCAGGATTTTAGGTCTGGAAAGCAACGGGGGATGTGGGGCTCATCCTCCTGTGCCCTCTGATCCCACAGCTCTGAGCAGAGGGAGCTGATGAGTTGGAATAGTTTGCCTTGAAACAGTGATGCCAGGTGGGAGTCACTGACCCTGTGCGGGGGGCTCACCAGTGGCACTGTTACAGATAATTTAAGATGCTCTGTCATAATGCAAGGACAGGCTCTGCTTTTGCAGACATCTTGAGCATCAGCAGATTGATGGAGCAGTGTCCGAGAAGCAGTGCTGCTCTCTAACTCAAGTTAGAAGTGAGGAAATGTTCCTTGAGCACCATTTAGGTTCCAGCAACAAGCAAAAGATTGGTTGGCTTGGAAAGTCAGAGTGTTATGTGCCCACAATTCACCAGTAAGTGTCTAAAAAGTATTCATTTTTATTTATATGGCTCTTGGATTTTCAGCTTCTATTTGCTGTTGGTGACGAGGAGGAAAAATACTCACCTCTTCTGTCTGTTGGGTCAAAGCTGTGTTTGGCTGCGAGGGAGAGGTGTGTGAGATCCACAGGACAAACTACAGAGCCTTGGGTTGGGAGGAGGCCCAGCATTTGCCTGGCTCCAGGCCCTGCTGTGGGCTCCTTTCTGTGCATCCCACGTGGGATGAGCAGCAGCAGTGAGATGGTCCATCCCTTTCTTTGCACCTCAACAGCCTTTTTTGGGGGGGGGGAATCCCTGATATCTGATTGCTGCCTGGCTGGAGGCCCTGCTGCCCTCAGCCTGAGTGTTTGGGTTATTGGTTCAGCACAATGCGTGGCTGCCCTCTTTGGGGTTCATTCAGGTGGGTCAGGGAAGGCAGCGAGCTGCAGGTGAGCAGCTCTGGCTTTAATTAGGCTGACGGAGGTCTGGGTGCTAAGGAGGCTTCCTGTAAGGCATGGCTGAGAGGATGGTGTGCAGTTGCATGAATCCCACATTTAAGCTCATGCAGCTAAGTGAACACGGCAGCTTTCTCCCCCCGTTCTCTCCCCCTTTACTATCCCCTTTCTATGCTCAAAACTCCTTCCTTTCATCTCTTCCCAGCTCCTAATGAAGCTGTGGCCCCGGCCCTGCATGCACGTGAGCTCTCCTCCCAAATATTTTGCACCTGGTGCCACCGGCCCCGCTTCAAAGCAGGGCTCGCACTGGGGCCCTATGAGCTGGGCACGCACCTCCAGCGGTGGAATTAGACACTAAGGAATGAACTCCCATTATTTTCCTGTGGAACTGAGCCACTGTTGCCACCGTGCGGGCGTTTGGCAGAGAGATGCTCCGCAGCCTCAGTGCTGGGGCAGCAGCGATGTCCCTGCAGTCTGACTGCCCACAACCACCCCTCTGCCATTGCTACGAATCGGTGCTGATTGCTACCAGCGAGCAGTGGGCTGTGCCACCGCAGCTCCTGCACCCGAGGAGGAAGGAGAGGAAGGAATGATTTCTGGGGATCCTTTGCTTCTGCTGCCCCAGCTCTGGAAGCAGGCAGCCTTCAGCTGCTGAGGCTGTTAATGTCACCTTTCCCAAGTGCTACGCTTGCAAAGCAACCTGCCAAGTATAGCACGTCTTAATTTGCTCCTTTCCCATGCATTCCTGGATTTACAGCTTGGTTTCGTCTGGCTGCTGCTTGCTGGGAGGGGTGAAGCCCCTCTGGAGGGCTGCTCTGAGCCTTGTAGGTTCCCATGCTGCTCCCTGAAAAGCATCACCCAAACAGAGGTTCAGGTTTGATTGGGCAGAAATTGATCTCCTGGCATCACTTATCTATGCAATGACTGCAGCAGGCTCCTCTCCCGGCACCCGTACGTTGTTCTGTATTCTCCTTAAATGCTTTTTAGGTAGTGTGGATTCGGCACTGCTGTAATAATGTGTAAAATGAAGAAAAAATGAAACAGCTTAGGAAAAAATGCATTTTCAGTGATGCCCGTGCTGGGCTGAAAAGTACATTTGCAGTCGCTTGCCATCTGCAGCAACTTGTCCAAAGCAAACATTACCCGTCGGGCCAGGTCTGGCTGCGTAATTGCCATAAACCATCACGAGGGCATCCAGAATAGCACAGCCCTGGAACGACTTCGAGGATTAGGTCCTACTCCCTTGAAAAATAAACCTTGGCAAAAGCTCAGCTCTCCCTAATAAAAATTCCATTTTCACAGCTCTAATCAAGTTTTCCAGAGCTGCGGTCCAAATTAGGATCTGCGTGCAGAATATCCGACCCAGGAGAACGGGATGGAGCCTTGCATGGGAAGCTGTGCCAGGCTGGAAATTTCCAAAGCGCTCAACGGTTCACCTGCACTGCAGCACAGACTGCATCCCCCCCGTGCACAGCTCTGCCAGTGCTGAGCTCCTGCTCGCAGGTGGATGGGTAGCACTCCATGCGGGGAGAGTGTCGTAAGGCAGCTTTGCAATCACTTCATAATCAGTGAAATTGCTTTCTACCATTATTTCCATGCCTGGATCCAACTGTCCATCAGCAGCTTTCAGTGCAAATGTGTTTTTGAATGCTTGTCTTGCAAACAATGGATCCCTTATTGTCTCGAGTTCAGATGGCCTGGTTACACGTAACCACGGCCATCCATATGACCTCCTTGTTCTGTTGAGCAGTGCAGAGGATGCAAGCAATGCACGCCGTTCTGTGAGCAAATGCAGAAGTGATCCATACTGCACAGGTCACAGTGGAGCTTGGCCAGGAAGTGGCCGTACAGTTGTAGAAGGGAGGCAAACCCAACCACAGCCCATGGCTGAGCCGAAAGATGGGTGGGAAAACTCAGGGCAAGGTCGCCACAGAAGTGCTCACGTGGGCCCCTGATTGTGGAAACACACTGAATATGTGATATGAAGTTTCATAACACCTTGTATGAAATGCTTGGCGATAAAACAATGCATAAAAAGAACAGATGTGGCAAATTGCAGCTATGGTCTGATCCCTTTCTGGAGCTGGGTTTAGTGGAAACAATGGAGTTGATTTAAATTCATTCTTTCGTTTTCTTTCTTTAGTGTCCACAGGCAGGGAAGTATTTGAAAGAAAAGCAAAAAAGCTTCAGGTGCAAATGAGGTCTTGTATGGAGAGCTGTGAGCTCCGGTGAGGGGTGAGGGAAATGGGGGGCCCAGCTCTGCCAGTGGGGCTTCTGCTGCTGTGTGGGACACAATCCTGAGCTGTGTCCCTGGTGGCAGAGCAGCTCAATGAGTCTGAGCTTGCCTGGGTCTCCATATTTTCAGGAATGGACGTTCCCTCACTGAGCTGCTGCTTGTCTAAGGCTCTGAAGCAGCACAAGGCAAAGCTTGGTGTCCCCACAGCACTGATGCTGAGTGGAGCCCAGCTCCTGGCCTCCAACCTATTGCCAGCCCCATGGGTTTCTCAAAAAGGCCCAGGCTGCACGGCCGATAAGGGGCTGCAGGCTCTAATCAGAGCTGCATCTGCATGCACTGCGGCTCCTGATAAGAGCAGCGGGCTCAAAAGATGGGCTCTTGTTTGTTGTGGTACCCAGTGCCCTGAATGTGGGCAAGCTGCTGCTCCAGCCCCTAAAACCAGACCCAGAGCTTTGAACAGCAAAGCAATGCTCCACTGCTGCTGCACAAGCAAGGAGACAATGGTTGTGGCTGGGGGTTGGTTGGTTGATGCACGTATTTTTAATCCTATTTCTGGCTGTTAGCACTGTATATAGGTGGTTTTCTATATCAGCTCATGTTCCGGCTCTGTTGAGACAACAGCTCTATAATAACCAGTCTTCATGAAACCCAGCTGTGCTCCAGGATGGCCCAGGAGCTGGCTGAGATGTGCCATTAGCTCTTGGCATTGTCTGAAGAATTTTTGTTCTTGGATGGAAGAAAACAGGATGTTTTGAATGAAAATAGTATAAAAAATGGTATTAACAGCTGATTTTTTTTTTTTAATAAATAAAAGGCCTTCCAGCTAAGGCTTCTGACTTAAAGAAAGGAAATTGCAACAGAAAGAGGGAAGTGACTGTTTTGAAAGCGTTCGGGGGGAGGCATCAAACTGAAGGGATCTTGTGCAACTCTGCTTGTTAGGTCTAATGCTAAATCCATCCATTTATTCCTTACCATAGGGAAATCACGGAGGAATGCTAGGAAACAGACAGATCTCAGGTCTGGCTGGAAGCACGCAGCACCTTGCAGGGTGACATGCTGATATTTGTCTCTGGTTTTGAGGTCTGTTTGTTCTCCTCCCCTCCTCTCTGCTGCTGTAGAGGGACAGCTGGGGGCTCTGATAAGGGATGGGGAGATAAGGGGCTCTCTGCCACCCCTCCCTGCCCTGCAGCTCCTGCATTCTGAGGCTCAGCTCTCAGTACCCTGTGAGCTCTACTAAATGTATGGGGAAGTGGCTCTCAAACAGAATGGGTCTCATGCACCCATGTCTGTGGGGGACATTTAAGTACAAACATATGGGTGAAAATGGTATGGGGAAAGGAATTTAAGAGTGCTTAGGAGAGAGCAGGTTCCCTTCAACCAGCACCCACTGTGTCTCTCAAGAAGACACCCTTAGAGCTCTGGAACAGCTTTCCCTTGAGTAAAACCCATATTATTGATGTGACACAGTGGGCACAGGCACACCCTGAGGGAGACAGGTAGGAATGTGGCTCCGGCACTGCTCTCAGTGGAAAACAAAAGGGTTTCTGTGACAGTCGGGAGCAAGTGCCAGCCAAAGGGCATGGGCTCCTTTCATCCAGTGTTCAGCTGCAGTTCGGCAAGTTTCAAACCGACCTTCGGCAGCTTTCTGCACCCTGCTTCATCAGATGGGCTGATTGCAACACTGGGATGTGCTGCAACAAACTGAGAAAACTAACTTTTGCCTTCATGCTGGTTGTTTCGTAGCAACGCCTTTCCTGCATGGCCACAACATGGCGTTCCATTGCAGTCTGTTATGAACCAGGGCAGGGGGAGCAGAGCACGAGGAAGCTGCGGTGGGACTCTGAGCTGTGTGGTTTGTGCAGTTCCTAATGCAACTTGTGCTGCCTTTGTCACAGGGGTGCTGGTGTCGTGGATCTGGCTGGTTTGGGTTGTTCCTAGCTGGGAGTGCTTTGGTGTCAGTGGAGCTGCATGGGCTAAGTTACGATGTCAAAACACAGTGATGCTGTCACATAACCATCTCCCGTCCTGGGGTCAAGGTTCTGCTCTATAGCTTGGAAACCTGTTAGTCCATCAGAAAGCATATGGCCGAGAATGGACAAAAAATCTTGTGTTCAGGTCAGAGCTGTAGACAAAAGGCTCTTTGTGCTGGGGCCTGACAATGACAAATAAAGAGGAACCTGTTGATCTAAAAGAGAAATTGAGGATTATGAAAAGATCACATGGTGAGAAAAAGGCCTTGGCTGCTTGTCAGTCCTGCCTGTCATTAAAATGCAGTTTGTCCATAGAAATCCTGCCTCCTGCACAGGCTGTTTTTCTGTCCTACAGGCACTGCTACCTGCGTCTGACCGTGCTGGCTCAGGAGCACACAGCAGGAGCGATTCTCTTAGCTGATCCTTTGCTGTGTGTTGGGTGTTGTGTGAAATAATTAGTTCCTATAGACTCTTCTGGCAGTGTCAGGAACAGTAACTGCTTAAAAAGTGTCCACCCCACCATGCTAAATAGGCACACAAAGAAATGGTAACAAACCCCAGATAATTCAGCAGAGTTATTGGAGGTAAACCAAGAGCCCTGCCTAATGCTAATAATAAGCATATTTCCCAAAGGTAACATTTGATTTCTATCCAGACCTGGACATATTTGAAGCTTTGCCTGCGAGTCGTTGTGTTGCAGATTAACGGGGACAATACAATCTGTGATAACTGTGAAGCCTTCAGTCGGCTCTGAAGGAACAGCAGTAGAACCTGGATGGAATGCTTCACACATAATGTGTTTTTTCACAGTAAACAGGGAGAAAACTGCTTTGGTTTTGTGGGAAGCACATCTGGCAACTGCGTATGTCTTATCAGTGTGCAGAAAACACTCTGAACAGAAAGATTTCTATTGAACGCTGATGGGCTGCCTAAAATGACCTTCAGGGTCTATGGAGTGCGCCATGGATTTAAAAAAAATCTATGATAGCCCATTATGTTCTGGAATGTATCCGAGCACGTCATCCCCGTGCTGTCTGAAAGAAAGGAGACCCATGGCAATGTGCTTAATTCAAACAAAACAGGGGCAGAGTAAGAGCAGAATGCTTGTCCTCTGGTTTTATTTATCTTTATAGCTGAAGAAGCTGAGCTGGGGAAGGTGGCTGGGAAATGAAATGCAGAGGGGAACGGCCCTCACTGTTCTCTGAGCACTGGTTTGAAATCAATGTAGATAATGCACTTGGAAGGGCTGCCTTGTTTTCTGGTTTTCAGTAAACTGCTGGGCTGCATTTCCCTGTGGTGATGTGATAGTGATGTCTGTGCCAGTAAGAATGTACCTGGGGAAAAAAAAGTCGGCAATTCCTTGCAAGCAACACTTGGGTAGTTTAGTCTGGGATGCCCTGAGTTTTCTGTATCGAGCAGCCCATATCTGGGGCTGCTGTGTCTCCCTCCTGGTGGTAAAACGTGTTTCTGAGTTCTCTGCAGCTCATTCTGAAGACCCAGCAAACCCTATTTCGACATGAAACCTGTTGGGCAGAGTGAGATGCCATCCCTCCCTCGCTGCAGCCCTACATGAGCACCCTGGCACAGCAGAGCTGTTCTCTAAGTGCTGCTCTCCCTCTTCTTTAGCAGCCTTGATTTTGGCCCCTGGAAATCAGTGATAAACTCCCAGTGACTCCAGTGCTGCTGGATTAGGCCTAGGGTCCAATTATCCTCATGAAAAGCACAAACCAATAACTCACAGTTCTAAGAAGGCTTGCTATGGACAGATCCACTGGGGATTTAATGCACTATACTGGAGCCGATGCTTGAATTTTTCTATTTATATATGCTTTGGGAGAATAATTTTATGGGTAAATATGATATTCATTAATATTTTTCTTTGTTAATTCACTGACGCTAGTAAAGAGCTTTGAAGATGAAAGCCGTGGATGCAATAAATATTAAGATGACTCCAACTCATTTTAACGTTGCCAGCATTTCAGCTCCACCATCTTTCATCCAAGAATCTCAAAGTGCTTTCCAAACGCTAATAAATTTCCTTCCAACAGTCCAGGGAGATATCTCGAATTGTCATCATCCCCATTGCATAAAGCAGTGTGTTTTACACCATGACGTGGTCAAAGGCAGGTAGTACGGCAGGAATCTGTTTGGGAATGATTCAAAAATTCCTGATTCCCATTCTCCTGTCCTTGCTGCTA